AATAGTTCTCAACACATTATGGTACCACGTTAATGCTTGTGCAAAACGTGACTGTAACGTATTTTTCCCGTTTAAGGAGCTTGAATTCACAACATTTTGATAGACAGTATCCCTTCCATAAGAATGTAGTTCCGTTTAACGTTTTTATTTACTCGTGTTCTTAGACTGCCCATTTTGTTTGATACCAACTAGGTACCGTTTATCAGGACATCATCGTGGTAAACATATATTTATTAAGAGGCTTAGAGGTGGAAGATTATAGTTTTTGATTGTAATACATGATAGAATTTGAAGCATTTTATCCCAGAAAAGGCATTCAGAAATTTTTTATTTACATCGACTTTTGCCTGAAGAAGTGTTACATATCTTTCCCTGGTGTTAATAGGTACACCCTAAACTAGTTCCATCAAGGCACATTGGGTGATTATATTTACGTAGCTACATAGACTTTCGTGCTTCTATGATATAAATAATCACCCTTCATCTTCCTCAGTATTTGTCGCCTTGTTTGAACTGTACTGTACTTTGTTTACAGATTTCATTATCACAGTTGTTTGAAGAAACATGGATTTTAATTTCTAGTTAAACTGACGAACAGTGAGCACACTATGTTGTTTCTAAGTATGCTTATTGTCTCAGGTGAACATTGTGAGTCTTCTCAAAGTATAAGATGACTGTGTGATAATTTAACAGTTTCTTACATAATTAGGGTGGATTTATCCAACGTACTAATCTACATCGCGTGATGAAGGTGGGATACATGCCGTTTTTGTCTTTTCTGTGAGTCATGACTGGTACTTAAAGCTTAATGACAAGGTACGCATTCCGCACAAAATGAACATATACCAAAAGAAACTCATCAATTTCAGTTCTGAACATAAATCAGGAAATTCAAACAACCAGTAGAAATGAATCAAAATCAATGCTGTTCTCCTTAGTATCCGCCATTTTCATTCACAGCTTTTAAGCGCGTTTCTCAACTTTCTGAGGTATGGCTATCTAGGAATTCATAGGATACCGTACCTATCGAATTTCAAAGGATAGTCTACAGTTTTTTAAGAAATATATCTGAGTAAAACGTGGGAACTAGTAAAAAATATTGTAGATTTTTTCGGCCTGAAATTACTCCAGTCTTGGCAGTAACTTTCACATTCTACCATAGGCGAAGCAGTATTTGTGAAGATTCTATGTAGGTACCATTAGTGTGTTTTACCGTTTCGGAATTTTATGGTGAGAGAGATGCTTGATGGAGTAATACTACTTCTCCGATATAGCCAAAGAGTAAGACGTGGCTATATTTTCTAATTGTTTGGGATTTTTTGGTTTGATTCACAGTTTTCTTTCAATCACAGAAAGGCATCCGAAAATTTTAGACATTGAGTGATTATAAACTGGTCGATTTCAGGCTTAAGCTGTAAACAAACTATAAATCAGGTTTAACCATTCCAGCCAATCGTCTAAAGATATGCCTTTCAGGGTAATCAACAGATTCCGATTATTGTCAAACAAATGCTCAACTTTCGGCATTCACATTCACGTGCAGCTCATGAACTTTAGTTCATGTGGTTAGGTTGCATGGACAGGTTTGAGTATATTTGTTCAAAAGTTATGACTACTGTCCCCTCTTCCGTTGAACGTGAGGTGAATATGTGTGTGGACAAAAACCGTTTACCGTACGACTATCTCATGGATTCAAAAAAATGCTAGAATATTTGCAAGGTTTGGAACTATGCTTACATGGATTATTGTTAGCTAATGAAAAGTACATCAATCTTGTCATGACATAAATATTTTATTAGCATGAAAGAATAACTAATAAACATTTCATCATTCCGAATAATCAATTTAGATCAATTTTAGGGGTCAGTGATCCTGGATAACCGATGTAATTCATGTAAAAAGCCATTTTGTACAATGATTCCATTTCAGCTGTGTGTGCTGTTTTGTTTTTGCAGACGCTTATTAGACATTACATAAATATCGATTAAAAATGCCAAGAGCGTTTGCTCATAAACTTTTTCTCTCACATCTTATGACTGATTATTTGTAGACACCACGTACAGAGATATAAACGTCCGAAGACTCATTTCTGTGAAGGACCCTAGCCAAAACTTTTCGGAGGCTAGCAGAACATTGATAAGGAAGTTTAAGTGGTATGTCACAAAATAGATTTCCAATAACATTGTTCGAAAGATCCATTAATGACCCGTCAAAGAGGTTCACAAGCTAGTTTTATATTCTGTGTTGTCAACAACTTGACCTCACAATCATTGCAGTCCTTTCCAATGGGTGAATGTTATCATGAAATGAAGGCACTGAAGGATCGTGGATGAGCAGTACTGAGCAGTCCCACAACAGAACGAAACGGCCGTCCAGTACCTCCGAATTTCGCATGGTGGTTTAGCTTCAATTGACTCGTGATCTTAACTGTTAGAATTATAAAAAATATCTCCCTAAATATTTCACCACTTATTATCATGAGTCCCGACTACTAGAACATCTTGACACTTGCATTGTACAACTCGATATTTTTAAATGTCGACACATTACCGGTCAAAAGAGCCTAAACGCAGTGACTCTGCAGTGATTGTGATATGATCTTAGTAAAAAAGATCAGGCTGCAGTGTTCAAGACTTCCACGATACACGAACAGTTTTATGGTTAGAAATGTATATCCGAATTCAATCCGAAAAATCAGTTACGACCAAACTGTAGAATACAGATCAAGGAATTAGGATGCCCCCATCAAAAAGAAACCATGTTTTATTCTTACTTGATGGAGTAACTAAACTCACTCAGCTGAACAACATGAGAAGACAGTCACAACCGTCAACGCCTAATATTTGTCGACAAAATGGGGATAATCAGCTGAAGGGGAAAATATTTCTGTCCTCGAGCAGGTAGATAGAATCAATAATTTCAAAAATCGATTACTACTTAGCGATAAATTGATACAGGATTTGCCGGATTAATAGGCTGAATGAAACAAGACCAGTATAGTTTAAAAAAACAATAAACGTTAAGCGAAACGTTGGGAATGTTGAAATGTCAAGTATTATGATTTATGATGTTATCCTTTGAAAGCGAAATATTATGGGATACTCTAGAACAGGGTTGCTGAGAATAGTAGTCTTACAGTCAAGATGAAACAAAAAGTTGTTATCATTTGGAAAGTGCTCATAGTATAGAGAAACGGGAGGATTAAGGAAGGTAGCTTTGTTTGCAATCAAATAACGAGCTGCTGGAGCATAGAATCAATATTAGGTGGACTTCCTCACAGACGCTCACGCATGTGTACAAACATAAAAGATAGTGCAACGGAATGGAGGTATCTGATTGCATCGATAATAATTTGTCAGAAAGATATCAACTGAATGTCTCAGTGATGATGACATTAGTAAAAACTTTTAATTGTCTGATGGAACGGAGGTGATTTTTCCATATATGGTGTATTGTTTATGAATCTTTACACTCTGAAAAACGCCCTAATTAACATTAGAAAACTAAGATATATCATGGTTTGATTGTCGAGTCGTTAGCTACCATCAAAGGGAATAGCCAAATACTACGGATGATGTCTGCCACCAAGTCCTCTTAATAAAGGTAATTTCCATCTAATCTTTGTAAAACTACATAAATTTATACGGTTACTAAGATACTTGTTGGTTTCACTAATATCGATTATCATATTCTCGTCTCTCGCCATATTTGTCAATCTTTTACGTCAGTTTGTTTGGCAAACATATTGAGGCTTTAGAGTTTCTCAGTAATTCATTGTGTTGATTTAGGGATGATGAGAGATATCAACATGCAGACTCGCTTAATAGAATCTATTCTGATTTCCAGTAGTCTGTCGTAAAAACTTAGTATCTTGGTTGTGTTTTTCCAAATAAGATAGTGAAATTACATATTATGGTAGTTATGGTACCAGCAGTTATCGGAGGGAACTTGCATTATTATTTTTGCGCCTCAGATAAAGTAGGATCATTTTATCATCCCTAATAAAGAATACAAAATATTTTACTCCAAACTTTTCATTATCAACATCTATTAAATAAAGTTTGACTTCAAATGTGTAACTGTTGTGGATGCGGAAGAATAGACCAATAATTATCATGTTAAGTCCAGTGGTGTCCTTGGACTTTAAATGAACATTTCCTATTGGTCGATATCTGTTCACTTGTTGAATATTGTACAAAATGTTGTTTTCTATTTTTATGGTACGATGTGGTATGCTTGATTGGTATATAAACAAAGTATGTTTGAAATATAATGATTCATATCTCCGAGGCTGTGACTTGTGTTCTGGACTCAACTGACTGGGCTAGACAGGGAAGCGGGACCAATAGAGACTCTAGGCCGTCCGTACGTGTTTACGTGTCATTGAATCGATCGATAACACAGGGTAAAAGTCGACAGCAACTTAAATTCATAACAGTAACATCATTTGATAAAGATTTATTTTACATTTTTCACCCAAATAAACTTTTTAATACTCTGAAATATAAGGTTAGCCTGAGTAAAACATCACGGCGAGTATTTCTATGAATGTCTAGCTTCGTATCCGAACGGTTTGCTGATGAAGCTGATATCTCCTGTTCGAGTGTAGGTAAAAATCATGATAAACTGGGTTGTGTTTGGTTCTAAGCGTTGAGGGTACAGTGACAACAACTTCATTCAGCAGAGACAATATGATATCTCGAATAAATATGGAGGTATTCAGACCAAACATACAAAACAGCATCGCAGTGTAATGTCACTTATGAGGGTGCGCCCTTGAAATGAACAATGAAGTGAGTGCATTTCACGTAATCAACTAGAAATATTCATAAAACCCACGATATTATAGGCAGTTACGTGTCTTATTGGTTCAATGTGTGATGAAAAAGAACTGTATTTGATGCTTTTGTTTGTATTGTTCAGTAATTAAGGTCAAATAAGATCCTGGTTTCTGTGCTAATTTAAGTCCTAAATCAGTCTTCCGTTACTTCGCTTTAAACATGGATAAAGTACTGACGCTTGAAACTATCAATCCCAATATGATAAAAATCGAATATGCGGTACGTGGGCCAATCGTGGAACGTGCTCTTCAAATCGAAAAAGAACTCAAGAATGTAAGTATTATCCGTATATATTATAAACAAATCCAGGGTGATAAAAAATCCTTCAATGAAGTTGTCAAGTGTAATATTGGTGACTGTCACGCAACTGGCCAAAGGTTTATAACGTTCGTACGTCAAGTCACTGCTCTGGCAACTTTTCCCCATCTCCTCGAAGAGAAGAGTTTTCCAGAGGATGCAAAATCAAGAGCTAAGGATTTGTTAACAGCTTGTTCTGGTTCTAGTGTCGGTATGTACAAATACTATATTGTTTCGTGAATCATATTTACTTTTTTATTCACGTTACTCTATTAATCTGGATTCATCGAGTCTACTTAACTTGCTTGTAACCTGGTTTCTAGAACAACTCACATGTTACCAGGTAGTTGAGGTCGGTGAAAGTTTAATCCTGTTGACGGAAGCACTTGTTTATGAAGTCAGTTATTCATAAACGGCTATTACCTAGGCGAAATTGTATTTCTTTTGTCATTTGTAGTTAGAAGAGCCACTTTCATACGCTTGAAAGAGATGTATTAGTTCTTTATTTGATTATTCAGATTTAAGCTGTTCCGTATACATTATATATTGCACCGTAATAACACTATCTTTTCTGTCACATTAACTGAATACAAAATAGAAAAACCACTCAGTGTATGTTACCAACCTTAAGTAGTGAAAGTAATTATTCCACTTAAAACCAGATGTGGTTTAATTTTCAGGCTGAGATTCAGTTCTTCTCATGCTACTGAGGCCTATTGGTGTAGCCGTTTGGTAATAAGTAATGTGAGTGGCTTAGGTGCTGTTTGATTATGCTTCTACTCAAGTAGTACGCTAAAAGATAGCTTTTGTTTCTCACTAGCACGGATTCATTTACTATCATGTCATGCATTCATTACACATTAGTAGTATTTGCGGTTAAATGTTCCACCCGTTCCTTGATTTCAGGTTCCTACAGTCACTCTCTGGGGCTGGAGTTAGTTCGTAAAGATGTAGCAAAGTATATACATCAACGCGATGGTATTGAGTCTAACTGGGAGAATATTTTTCTAGCTTGCGGGGCTACGGAGGCTGTCAAGGTATTGTTCTTGCGATCACGATACAACTTGTTTTTGGTTTATATATTTTCCTTTATTAGACGAAAATGTCATTGATCATGAGTCGAGTTGTCTCAATATTTTCCTCGACTGAGTCAATCTTAAAAGGGAGCCAAAAAGACTACTTCTTGTGCGTTTTTCTTACGAATTTTAAAAGATATGCTAAATTCTGTAGATAGAATTCACAGTAATAGATTATTTAACGGGAGATTTTCAAAAATTCACTCGAAATTCTCAACGATTTTTAAAAGTTTTCACCACAAAGTCCAAACAGACGTTAGTAACAGTTGAAAGCCAATTACATAAAGGTGTCTACTTAGAGTGCTGCTACTTAGAAATAGCATAATATGTCAAAAAGGTGAAGGGGGAAGCAAAGCGCTAAGTAGGCTGAAAACGATCAAGTTAAGTATTGTTGCTTTACAAACTTATAAGATAATGAATTAAATACGTAATAAGACATTAGGACTAAATAACCTTCTCGTACAATGACGTTTCACTGAGTTTTAGTGCATTTTTTATGTGATCGTTCCAACACTTATCATCGATACATTAAAGGCTAATCACCGGCATCTAAAGAGCTTATCGACCGTGCAGTAACAGATGCGCATTTTATCCGCTTTCTTATCTAGATTCTGAATGACTGATGACGCTCACATACCCAAAAAATTTCAAGACATACTGCCGTATATATATGACATTAGGTCATATTTCCCTGCAAATCTTGACTTATTAGTGAGAGTTTATGATTTCTGATCGTTGATATTCAGGATTGTAATTGGTCAGCTTAAGTTTCCATTTGTGCATTCTGTGAGTGTTGCCAGAATATACCTGGTCCTGGAATCCTTTGTAAAAATATGGTTACTACACTGCTAATCTTGCAAATCTGTGAGGATTTAGTTTATTTTTATAATCAGTCAATCGATAACACGCAACACAACCACGAATAAACTGACACATGGCATAAATAACCGTGTGGTAAATTTTCGACGGCTTATGTTTATCTATTTTATTTTATATATGGTAAATATGGTCATTTTAGTGGATATTGATTGACTTACTCATTTTCGTGAAATTTTAGATGTTACTGGAAATGATATCCACAACCGGTCGAGGCAGTGAACGCGCAGGTGTTATGATTCCAATACCACAATATCCTTTGTATTCAGCTACGAATTCCGAATACAATAACTTTCAGGTTGGTTGATGTCTTAATGTTGCGTTTAATCAATTATATGGCGATTTTTCTCGTCAATTCTTGTCATTTAGTAGCGAATTACAGCCACATCATCCTAGCATAAATCTGATTCGTATAGATTTTCGGAATCAGGAACTCACCAAGTTTTGAGAGTCTAATAATATCTTTAAACTTTGAACCACTGAAAATTATGTTTCATAGCATTTTAAGCTTGCTGATGCTGAATTTAAAAGATAACTTTAGTTTTGTGTTTAAAATTAAGGTGCTTGAAATTCACCTCTGGTCACAATCATGGATTATTTTTCTATCTATCATCGGATTGTATCTGTAGAGACAAGGAAACATGGGTGCACAGATTATCGATCTTATTTTATTGAACGATGCTGGTCACACCTAATTTTCAAGAATTCATCTACCATCTGAGAACCTGATTTGTAATATTAGTTCTTAATAACGGACAGTAAACCCTTGTTTCGTGTAAATTTACATATCATCAAATTAATACAACAATTCACCTAAAGGTAGTTTTTATTATCAGTGATTGATGGCAGGCAGTTTCACTTTCAATAAATCCCCATACATTATAACGATATTCGCTTTTAATGTAATCCGATTACTTATAATAAAAACAACCACTTCAGGTTTATACCTACCTACCATTTTGAGTTTTTTCCTTAATTATTTGAGAATTTGTGTTTTAGATTAACTACTACTTAGATGAAAGTGACAACTGGTCCTTATCTGCTGATGAATTGAAACGAGCACTAACGAGCGTCAAAGGACAGTGTATACCGAAAGCCATAGTTATAATTAATCCAGGAAATCCAACGGGTCAAGTACTTCCGCAAAAATGTATGGAAGATATTATTAAATTTGCAGTTGATAACCGACTGATTTTGATAGCTGATGAAGTTTACCAGCAAAATGTTTACCAGCCGGACAAATATCCATGGGTTAGTTTTAAAAAAGTTTTGTTCAATATGGGACCAAGTTACTCAGGAAAATTGGAATTGGCCTCACTCATGTCCTGTAGCAAAGGTTACATGGGAGAGTAAGTGGGTTGTTATAAGATTTTTGATAAATAATTAAATACTTGTTCTGGTATCCTTCTTTGTGTTTTGTTCACTATCGTCCTCCCTTTTTGGAGGTCTTCATTCCCTATTTTACAAGCTATACTAATGTTCTACATTTATAGGACATTTTTATATTGGTTTAAAGCAAAATGTTGGGTTACCCTGAGAGCGTTTTCATTGTGAAGACGTTTTGTACTCATATACTTTCAACCAAGATGGTCTGTCACAAATATCAGAGCACTACCTACGCTGACGTCCTCTGCTACTAATTAAAATTAAGCTTAACTAACAGTGGCATCAGTCAGTTGAGTCACTTATAGCCCGTCTGAGGATTGGGTAAACCTTTTTGATAGTATTGTTGTGAAATTTTGAGTAGGTTGCGTTAAACCCCACATAACACTGGTAATTTCCGACTGCAACAACCCGAGTGCAACCACTAACTTCGTTAAATTGTTGAACACTATACAACAAAAGACATGGTAACGACTATGTTGGAGCTGAACTGTGCCAACAAAGGAGCTGGGGATAAGGGATAGTAGTGGTTATTCAGTCGCAGAGATGAAGTCAGATGAGGATTTTTTACTATTTCTTACATACCTGATAGGTTATTAGACTAGTTCAGTTATGTTTTCAAGGTAGATATTATTACATAGCTTGACGAGCGGCGTCGTAGAATAATTCGTCCTAGTAAAAGAAGACGGATAGCGTGTTTCACTGGTAAATTGAACTTCAGGAAGATAATCTTACTATAAAAAATAAGTTATAGTGTGTCAAATGTATACTTTGTGGTGAGGCAGTTCCTTTGAGTTTGTTTAGGCTCGTTTGACGATTTTATTTTAATTTAGACATGTATCTTTTGTAATCTCTTCTCTGATTAACTATTACCCATGAAGTGTTTAAACGTATGTAAGGACATTACAGAGAAAACTACCTTCCTAAGGCTCATTGTGAGACAGCTCATATTAAAACCATCAATGTCATCTAGTTGCTCAAGTGGGTCTTCTAAACCAGAGTAGCTAAAAAGTGTGATTTAATTTACCTCATACTGATGATACTGGCCGACTGGATATGCCATATGGTTTGTCATATTGTTAATCGTTTTTGGAACAATTTACCGTTTAGATATTTTTGTCTATTCTAGATGTGGATATCGCGGTGGATATTGTGAATTATTAAATTTTGATCCAGCTGTTCAAGCTCAGCTTTACAAAGCCCTTTCAGCACGATTATGTCCACCCTAATGGGACAGGTATAGTACTTCATAGATTTTCTGTTTAATTTAGTTTACAGCAATTCTTATAACTGATCGTGCTTTTTCATTACGAACTAATTCAAATGGTTATAATATTTACGAATTAGTTAATGACTAATTATATTACTTAGTTACTTATGCCTGTCACTACCACTCGTGGAGGAGCATAGGCCGCCCACCAACATTCTCCATCTAACTAAGTGCTGGGCAATCCTTTCAAGGTGGTTCCAGCGGTTATTCATCTTTTTGATGTCCGCTTCCAATTTTCGACGTAGTATGGTTCTTGGTCATCCTCCTTTTTCGTTTCCCTTCAGGATTTCAAGTTAATGCTTGCCTCATGATACCATTTGATGGTGTCATTAATGTATCTCATATCAACTTTCAGCGTCTTTTCTTAATTTCTTCCCCAACGGGAAAATGGTTTGTTCTCTCTCACGGTAGGCTGTTGCTGATGGCATCCGACCAACGGACATTGAGTATCTTGCCAAACAATTGTTTATAAATACTTGTACCTTTTTGATGATGGTTATGGTAGTGCTCCGAGTTTCAGCTCCCTACAGTAGAACTGTCTTGACGTTTATATTGAAGATTCTGACTCTGACATTGGTTGGCAGTTGTTTTGAGTTCCATATATTCTTCAACTGTATGAATGTTGCCCTTGCTTTGCCAATCCTTGCCTTTACGTCTGCATCGGATCCTCCTTGTTCATCAATAACGCTTACCAGGTACATGAAAGATTTCATCTCTTCCGGAGCTTCTCCATCAAGTGTGATTGGGTTGGTGTTCTTCATGTTGTTTTTGAGGATGTTCTTTTTTCCTTTGTGTATGTTTATGCCTATTGATGCAGAGGTGACTGATTATATAGTATGCATGAATTAGTAGCGTGATTAATAATGTTGTAATTAATATCTCCATATAAGTTTACCTAGTAGTTCCATTCACTTATTAGCTTTATTTTTGCCATACAGTTTTTATACTTGATGTAGTTTCCAGTATCAGGAATTCAAGTTTTTACATTTAGATCAAGTTACCGAAACGGAATATGTATTTGAAACGTTATGTTAGTATCATTAAACAACTAATGTATAACTGTGAACTTGAGAGGCTTATCCGAATTTGTCGACTACAATTATCAGAGTTCATTTTACTGTCAAATCTCTAATTTAGAACCGATATCATGCCAAAACTTTACGTGTAAATTCAAGCTTACCAATCAGGGATAATAATTTATCCATTAAAACTGGGTAACGCTATGATCGAAAATTCATATTGATTCACTCCAAATATTTATCATCAAACTATTTTACCTCTGTTTGGCCGACCTGGTTAATTAATAGAATTTGAACCTTAACAAAACACTAGCAACAATGAATCGAAGCTTGTTGTTGGAGAAGTATCATTACTGACTTGTAAAACCGACCCCTTTCTGTCTAATAAATATACCGTCGGTGCTTATTTCCATAAGAGGGATTGAATGTGGATTTCGTATAGTAAATCAAATATCCTCCTATATGCTAATTACGTTGCTTCTGAATGGTACATTTATTTTTGCTTTTGGTACTTTCATAGCATCGTCACACATACTCGAGTTCGTGCACGTTTAAGTTTATTAAACCCTTTAATTAACCTACTAAATAGACAGTGTCATTCCAATAAGTGACCAGTGTATCATGCTTTTTCCTCATTTGTATCACTTTTGTATGAATGTCCAACAGTTTCATTAATGTCATTTTATCTTTCATGTTTTCGTGCAAAACAAAATCACTTAGGTAGCATTAGAAGCAATCGTAAATCCGCCTAAACCAGGTGAACCATCATATTTCTTATTTGTCAAAGAACGAGATGATGTATTAAGTGCATTGAAAGACAAAGCTGATATCACCTATAACGCACTGAATTCAATGCCAAATATGTCATGTAATCCTGTTCAAGGTGCAATGTATGCCTTTCCACGCATACATTTACCACCAAAAGCTATTCAAGAAGCTAAAGTAGGTTTAATTAAACACTAATAGATGAGACTTGTATCGTTTTTAACATGTTTTTTTTCATTTATAGCTGATACATTTGCTTACCTTGAAGTTATATTCGCTTACGGAAAACTAGAGATATCACTCACTGCCCAACTCTAAACTTAAGTTTACCAAGCTTTGAACACATAACCCAGTGATTAAAAATTCAATTGCCTAAACTATTGAAGATTAATGTCATCGTTTCGTTTGAGATAAACATTTTCCTCTTTAAACTCATTTTGTATTATTTGTTTGGATCTTCCTGTTGATGTTTAGGACTGCACTTGGTCAGTCTCCTATCGACATATGTGCATCCTGTGCTAATTGCCTCGATATTGCCTTAAGTCACAATCATTCTCTTTGTATAACCAACATTTTTCGTCGATTTTACCGTCATTAGATATGAATGCTTAGATACCTTAGTTTTGAAACATTTATGTCAGGTCGGTTAGTGAGCAGAACTGTTCAGACCATACAGACTTAGTCGCAAACGTGGATGAGTTTTATATCGTTAGGACCAGTTGACAGGAAACCCTGAACTATTGAATCGTAAGTTTTCTTCGGGGAAAACATTTTACACCTAGTAACATGAATTAAAAACAGTCATAATTTGACAATGACAAACAAAGTGAAATTACATTTTCATAAAATAACGTTCGGTTATTGTGTGTTAGGCATATTAACGTATCTGAAAGTAAACTACTACAATTTTGTGACGTTTTATTTTTACTTCGATCTGTTATTAGAATGGGGGTTTGTGGAGATTGTAGTGATTTTAACAGTTGAATTCATGAGTTCAACCATTTAAAAATCCATTATTCACTGTGATAAAGGTTGCCATACAAGTGTAAACTGTCTGGGTCATTTGAAAACCATAGTGTCTCTCGTAACGTAGAGTCTTTTAGCTTAACACTACTTCTAATATTAACTTACAAAGAAACTATCATAGAGAGAAATTTATATTTTCTATCCCCTTAAACTAGCTATAGGGCTATAAATGATAAAATGTCTTCATTAAAATTAATTTGGCATTCTTTGCCCGAAATTTTTTTTTCATTTTACCAAAAAAGTAATATGAGTAATTCACAATTGTCAATTACAGAGAAGAGGAGAAGCACCAGATTTCTTCTATTGTTTACAACTGTTAGAAGAAAAAGGTATATGTGTAGTTCCCGGTTCCGGTTTTGGGCAACAAGAAGGAACGTATCATTTCAGGTAAATAATCCATTTGTAAAAATATCGTTTCGGTGGTATATATATATATATATATATATATATATATATATATATATATATATATATATATATATATATATATATATATATATATATGAGGAAACAGTAAAATATTTCTCTCTCATCTAATCTTCATACATTTCCAAGCTCCTGTAAATTAATCGTATCAAAATCTGAGTTCAGTATGTTTAAATGTAGGATAGTTAAATTCATCTGAGCAAATAATATTCTATCGGGACTGCTTCTTTTCATTTGACTGTAAGACTGTTTCAATTAGGAATGATTGCATAATGGTCAAAACAGTGGAATTTAAAGCACTGCGTTGGATTTTGTTTTTCCTCAGTACCAAAATCTATCACCAGTTGAATAGCTGGACTACTACCCCACACACAAATAGTATGGCCTAAAGCTGAGTACCTAAGCTTCCGTTGGTTAGATATAATGTGAAGTTCTGCTATAGTAAGTTTATGGCAGTGACACATGGCCGGCAAGAGCAGAGGATATTCGTAAGTTACTAGTATTCCATTATAGATGTCTTCGAAACATTGCTCGTATATCCTGGGACCACCGAGTACGAAACTCTGTTGTTAGGAAACGGGTACTGGGTAAGGATGGCAAATCAATTTGTGAAGTAGTGAAACTTGATCAGTTGAGATGGCTGGGACATGTGTTACGTATGCCCAACCACCGACTGCCCCAAAGAGCGATGTTTTCTGGTGTAGGAGTAGGTTGGAAGAAAGCTAGGGGTGACCAGACCAAAACATGGCACAAGTCCATGAAGTCACTGGCAAGTGGACTGAGTCATGTTGGTAGGTGTAGACTACCTGGTTGGGATCCGCGAGACGATAGCAACCGATGGTTAGAGACCTTGAATGACATGGCTCAAAATCGTTTTCAATGGTGCAGGTGCATCCACTCTTCTCCCAAATTCTAATCTTCTGAACTCTTCATGTCCCTTTATTTTCTTTGCAAATTTATTTCACTGGCTTATACTCCTAGAATAACATCTTCAAACCCTAATCGTTCCGATTACTACGGGATTTGAATCGACAATTGTATCTCTGTGCTAATGTGGTATGGCAACTCGAACTGATGTACGTACGTACGAAGTTCCACGTTGTTACTGATTGACTGATCATAGTAAGTAAATTAATTCGTTCTCAACCACTGAGTCACAGCTTCAATTCCCTTTTTATCTACTTTGTTTTGGCCAACCAATAGACCTCATTGCCTCAACCGGAGCTCGTAACCAGCTATATAAACATGAACTTGTCGTACAGCGCTTTAAAAGTTCTTTCAGTTTAGTGAATGACTGTTTTCATCTTGAATAAGACTGATGAAACATTCATCTCAATCGAACCCATGGTGAATTGGAATCCATAATTTCTTTATCATTGCTACTTTTTTTCTACAATAACTCTCGGTTTGCATTTCTAATAAGTCGTCAAGCTGATTACCTATGACATGGTTTACTTCAGTTAATCTTTATTTACCTCAATTTAGCTCTGATATGTAGTATCTTAGTGGTGAATTTTATATCGTCATGGCTTTAGTGTATAGGACCAATTTGGTTTCTTTTCTTCAATTAGATAATGAAGTCCAGAACTACTATAACTGATGTGATATGTTTGTGTACATAACTTTTAACCATCCATCTATCAAAATTGAAATAAGCTAAAGCAGTGTCCTAACCTGTGATCAACCAAATTAAATTCAATTACTTTGATTCTATTAAATTTCAATACACCAGTTTAATGAAAACTGTTGTTTATTCCATCATTTATGTAGTTTCGGAAACGATGTGAAAAGTTAATTAACACAATACACAATATTACTTGTGTAAAAAACAAAGTAAAAACCAAACACCCTATAAAATACTTCAGTTTCATGTTTAGTAATATTAGCAAACTATTTTGTTTATATTTACTATTTTTTTTAAAAAAAAGAAGGACCATTTCAATCAGATCAATGTGACGTGAATATATTTTGTACATTTTCAAAATGTTGCTAATTCGTTCATTCATTCATTCATTTTGTATTATTAACATCGTATAAATAAAATCTGCTTTTCATTTTGTTTATGATTAACCAACCATTATGATAGTTTTATAATTTTTTTCCCCTGCTTTTCATATATATATATATATATATATATATATATATATATAAACGTTTTCATAAATATAACTCGCTTATTTGTTTTAACTTAACTAATCTCTATGTGTATTTCATTCTAACACTGATTATAAATTGTAAATCAACTTGGTTCATATTATTATGACCATGTAAACTATTTAAAAATTATTTAAAGTAATATGATCATTGTATAGTAAGTACTATATAGTTATCCCTGTAAACAAATGATACTAAGTTGGTGATTGTTTTGTTTAACAAGGCTAATTTAGTTGAATAAATTTCCGAGATATCATTGTATATAGGTCATAACTATGTTAATAGTTGATTAGTGCTTATTGTAAGATAAATTTTTATAAGTAAACAGTTCTTAAAATGTAAACGGTAATTAGATTAACTTTATATTATTTTTGTGATATAGTACATTCTATCTAGTGGCATTAATTTTAGTAGACATGCTTAGCTAATAATCTGTTTTATTTTTTTGGTGGGTGGGGGGGACTCAAACAAACACGTATTAGGGTATGTACAAATTAATCTTTATACAACTTCGTAAATAAATACAGATCAAGTATTCATTTTATGGTAAATAATAGATGTATAGGGAATAACTAGTGAATCATTGTTATTATTTTATTTGAACACATAAACATTGGTACAAGGGGGCACCAAATGCATTTGCGCCACACAATAACAATGAGTCCAGTAGTAGTTATCATTCGTTTGTGTGTGGTCTGTGATACTGTTGTGGCGCCCAAATCGAAGCAAGTGGTTTTTCAGGGGGCTACACCCGGAGCCTTCGACCTAAAGGTTTAATCCATAAACCAGTGGAGCAACGACAGGAGATGCAGTCTCATGGTAGCCGGTGACCAATAATTGGTTCATACGCTATTTTTTCCCTCGGGATCCTGGAGCCCATTGGTTTGGAATAAGGGTTTTCCAACTCCCCTAGGTGAATCCTCCATATCCACCAACCCTGTTAAAGCGCCGGACATTCGCTTTTCGTCCTCCCCCGCCACGAGAAAGCAGTCAGTGAGACTTCCCTAACAGTGGCTGTATACGCGTGGCCATGTGAGAGCATTTCGAGAGGGAGAGTGGACTCTTTCCACCCTCGGCCGTACCAGGGCATTTGGGGGCATAACTAGTGATACGAACCTTTGGCATTCAAACTAAAGGAATTATTATTAACTCATTATCAAGTACAGGTCCGTATACATGGCTTTAAGTCATATTTCAAGCGAAAGGTTAGTGACACTACTCGGTTATATAAAATAATGTAGATGGGGCAGATTTTAAACCTGGAATTTGATGGCTGAATGTCAAACGTTGTAACCGCTACTTCACCCCTTCACTTTTAGTGAACGCGTTGAAATTCAAATATGAGATTCCATGATTGAAATTTAACTACTATGTTATGTTAACATCAGTCTTATTTGACAGTAACACTGAAATATTTTTAAACCTAACCTGTTTTCTAACATTTCTTGATTAAGTACATTTATTATTAAATCATCAACTGGCCAGTTAAAACTGAATTACTAACTATTATCCTGTTTAATATCTTCACACTATTACTAATAAAATCATGAATTCATAAAGTTTATATTTTGCTTTTATTTATTTCTACACAGAACCACTATTTTACCGTCTGTTGAGAAGATGAAATATGTTATGAAACAAGTTGAAGAATTTCATATATCATTTATGAAGAAATATTCTTAATTCTATATTATAATAAATAACAATAATAAATTAGTTAGAAAAGATACATTAATTCAAGACTATCATTCAGATTAGTCATGTATCTATAACTAATTGTTCGTTTATGAGTAGTGGGTTTAAACCTGTACCCACTTATCCTATTAAATTTATCATTATTTTTAATAACTTAATATCATGGTAACTATTAAACTTTATTATTACTACAATGTATGTATGTATGTATGTATGCATATTAGTGAAATTATGTACATGCAAATTAAATGCTCACCAATTTACATAAATTCTATTATGTATGAACAATTTCCAATAACTTCAATCACATTCTATTGTTTATTATAATTGTTTTTAATTTTTTTTTTTTTTTTTTGAAAATATATTTAGTTAACGAAATGAAAGATTATTGTTTTAATTGGTATTCAGTATCAGTTATTCATTATAATTACAGGATACTTCAATAATCTATTTAACTCTAAAGAGATATAATATACATTAGTGATTTGAGGAACTAGATGGGAACTGGTCATTGATGATTCATCGCAAGGATTCCTTGTGGTCATTAATTTTTTCTTGTAATGCAACAGAAGTATAAATGGCATAAAATCAGAAATTATAATACCCATTGAATCATAACAGAATTTTTTAGTAGGACTCATCTGGTTAATGAAATCAGAACCTAGGAAGACATGTTTATTCAGTGGTTATATGTCTTGTTGAAGGATCGATAATTAAATAAGAGGTATCTTGAAATGTGGTCGTCTTCTCTTTTAGTTTAAATGTAATCTCACCAGTGACCCATTCGAACGGAGAGTGATTACATTGATTGCTCAGTGAGTAATTAACCGTTTATCTAATTTTTTTCGAGCTGACCTAGTTCCTTCAATCAAAATGTATTACAACCATTCGACTGAATAACTGGACATTGCATACAGCATGTCTTGATTATAGGTACGGTAGGCAGAGATCTTATTGAGATTGTAAATACATTTTGTTAATGAATCTCAACTACCAAAAACACAAGTCCATGGTTCTCTGTCGATCACCTTCAACTGACTACGAATAAAAAAGTTTCTGAACAATACAACGTAAATGGAAAAGTGACATAGCCTAACTGACTAAACTGAAGTCGTTTATTAGATAGTTGTAGCTTTGTCCATGATTTTCAGCTGTTCAACTAGTTTAAATTATTTTGTACTTGGGAATAACCTTGTGTGGATGTGGTCCTGGTGCAAGCTAAAGCGAGTCAGACTTCTGCCTGCTACTGATATACAAAATGTGGATTGTGGAGGTTTCGACGAATCTGTAGGGTTGATTTGGACTTTGTTATTTCTTTAGGTGCAATGAGATTTTGGTTGACTGGTTTTTGATAGAAACCATTTCAAGTGATCGTTAGCGATAGAACAAACGTTGTTTGTTTCCATTTACAATTTCCTAATCTTTGTGTGCATATAACCCTCAGCAATAATCCTTTGTATTAGGTTGACTTTGGCTTAACTGTGAACAAAGATGGAGTCCTGATAATCATTAAAAAGGTCTTTTATAACCGTTGCTATCAAATGCTACCTGCTCATCACCTCTAGGTATACATTTCGCTACTATAGATCGGTTCTAAATATCGTCATTTTTGGATGTGAAACAGGGGTTCAGTTTGCCAGAATCATAGGTTCAATTCATGAGTTCATGGATATTTAACTATGCATGACAGATTAGTTTAAATATATTAGTCAAATGGTTATTTTCACTTTTCCTTATTTCATTTAACATGGATGTAACATGTCACTTGGAAATAACAGCGAATCATATGATCAACTTACAGAATTTAGGATTGTCTAAAATATTTGTAAGACCTTAGGTTGCATTCAGATAGATGACTATCATTTAGAAAACAGTGTCTGTATTTATTTCTGAAAATGTTTTAATAGCATTCAATAATGTTTAACAAACATTCCGTCGTTCGTAATCTATGGTAAATAAGACTGGTAGACTTGGATTTATGAACTAGTAGTTTTCAAGACTATACATTACATACTCTAGTAATCACTAATGGAACACCAATCAAGTCAGAAAGAATACACTGAACACAGCTAAAGATATTATATTGTAATTCGAGTTAGGCACGTAACAATCTGCAAAGTATTCATCACTATATACAGACACCACAAATTCAAACTTTGTACATGGCTTTGCATCTGGTTAACAGATGGGACCTAGTCATAAACATATCCAATACCATGAACCCATTTATTAGTATTTCGGAGACGGAACTATGTGTTCGCTTTTGTAAACTTTTCCTAACTGTTATATACTTATTAGTTTTCGTCAGGTCAAAACTTATCCATTTAAAAACCTCTTTCCTCCCTTCCCACAACTGTTCGTTTTATGACTGGAATAGGTGCCAAAATGATTAGTTTTGTGACCACCACGTGACAGATTTATGTCCATAAATCACGACAGTAAGTAGGTAACTCATACGGATATTAAAGAGTTACTGTGATGTTCTGATTTAGTAATGGCCTCTTTGTAAACTATTCCGCGCTTGATTCAAATTCCAAATACAATACGATCGATTGTATTCAGGTTATTCTTTGTGACATGAACGCTGGTCCATACGTGACTACTACATTACAAACAGGACAGTCCTGAGAGTTACTAGTTAACAAAGCAAATTCGATCACTCGTAGTTTTCACAGACACGTTATATTGACGATGATCAATATTGTTGTTAAAGTGCTCTTAAAATTGCAAGAAATCTATTCTTAAACGTGGAGATTTATCGAATCAACAATGATTGTGTGGACTGCTTTAAAACAGAGAACCGAAAGATAGCTCATTATGGAAAAGGCCTTCAAAGAATATAGAAGCAATAGGCTAGGAGACTGTGGTTGTCATCTATCTCTAGTGGATTATTAATCCTGCAATTATATATCCGAGATTTAACTTCGCAAATATTTCTCAGACAAGACTGATTGTATTTAACGCCATAAAAACGTTATATAAGAAGGTTGATTAGAAATATTTTGAAAAGTGCTGTATTTCCTACACACCGATTCATCAGACCGGATATAAAGCATACAGTGTTTGTAGACAGTGAGATTTGTATGTGGTGTATGACATGTGATCAATCATTGTTTGACCCACTGGAGTTGACAGTGCCCTTTATTATTTATGGTAAGCTGATATTTTTGGAGATATTTAAAAGCAAGCTTTGTTGGAATGAACTGCTTGATGACAAGTTGGTCCGTTGTAGAAAAGAACTAATAAATTCTCTGGTAGTAGTACTACACCAGCTTCTTTGTCAGGTTTACTTGGGATTGAATCCTTATTTCTTTTCAGGAGTATTGGCTGATCCAAGTGGTTCTTAATTAATAGGTTATTCTTACTACATTGTGCATTAACGTATCCATGACTGCAGTCCACTAATGTGGATTTAAAGTGCTGAAAATTTTCTGGGGATGTTGGCACAAGATCATGAGTTTGATTTGATAGGTTTTCGAATTGTATTTGTGTATGAAGTCTACTAGTTTTGGAGGTGCTGTTACAGAACTTCGGACCCAATGATAAGGCCTGTATTTGGACTGGTGAAAGTTTAATAGAAGAATGATTAAATACATACTTTTCTGGATGTTCTGGAAACTTCTTAATCACGTCTACATGTTGCAATGTCTCCAAGTGTTTACGTTTAGCTTTTTGTGACTGTTTTTCCGTAACATTAGTAACATAGTCCTCAAATCGTTTACGTTCATCTAACGACAATTCAAACAAGGCGTGACTTCTGAAAGATATGTTGCGATCTAGTTCGACTTTTCGAGATTTGATAGCATCGATATAATTGAGTGCATGACGTCTGAGTGTTTTTGCATTGGGATGAATATGGTTTCGCCTTAGTGCCTTCCAGAAACGTTTAGGATAATCATTATTTTCGATACAGCTTTCGAGAAAATTGATCTCACATTTCACTAACGCAAGCTTGACGGTGTTACGTAAGAACCCATTGAACCCTTTCATCGTCATTAGGTCCTTGCATTTCTTCAATTGACAGATAGTTCCCATTTAAACATTAAAATTAAAACACGAATTTCAGCGAAGGGATCTCTTTTCAACGAATTTATTATCAAGCTGTACAATCGCATATATATGAAAATTTTGAAAAAGTACTAATTCCATGAGGAAATGTGAACACAGTCAATAAAAAGGGCTATAATACAAGATTACGTAATATGAATAATAACAATAACAATAGATTTGGTGAATATAATAAGATGATTAAAATGATTAAAATGTTTTTGTTATAATAATTAAAGGTCATAGTTTTAACCTAAAGAAATCGATATAAGCAGTGTTTTCATCATTGCTCGACAGGACACTAGTTAACCTAGTAAAAAAAGCATGTTTTTATGAACTACAAAAGCACGTTATATGAATTATTCACTATTAATAATGTAATATTTCATCATTATTTTTTGCTTGTTCACTAAATCATATCTTAAGATTGTATGTAACCAAGTTCCTCTTGTCCAAGTTTTTCAAAACTAAAACCCAACTACTGTATTCTAAACAGAGAAGATTTCGATTATTTGATCGTCATTGGCTTTATAATCTAATGTTTTTAGATCATCTTGATTTTATCTTACTGATAATACATATACTCTGTGCAGATTTGGATGGTGCCCAGAAGTGAAATTTATGACATGCGTTTCGTTCTACTTGGGACTCTTCAGCCAGATGTACATACATCCCAGAGTTGATTCATATTCCATGATTCATACCCAATGCCGATCGCTTCAATTGCTGTCGAGTCATTCAGTTTGCTACAAAATCCAAATAGCCAATGGTGCATTCAACTGTTGAGTTAAAAAGATGATAATGACGATTCCAAATTCATATTACTTAATTTAAGCAAAATATTACACCTGAAGTTGTCCGACCATTTTACATGTTCAATAGATTTTCGATATCCAGCACTTCGTCATTAATCCAGTCATTATTGAGTGAATGTTGCAAAC